TGAGATTATTGGCGTTTTCAGAAGATTGTCATGTCACGCCATGGTAGCAGTCATCGTTAGAAATAGCATTGAAGCGTTCACCTCATTTAGTGATCTCAAAATCTCAGCAAGTTCGTTGTGCACCGAAGACCATCGTCAATGCCTTCCTCACACCGTAGGAGTGCCTGTCGATTGTCTGATTGTGCATGGGCGAATCGCAGTGGTGACCGCTATCCTCACGGTATCCTCAGAAACCAATCATTGTCTGACGATGATGGCGAACCAGCTCGACTTGAGACGTTGCCTGTCCCTCCCACATCTTCACCAACACGAACTCTATAGGTGTTGGCATTGGCAACCAGGTAGACGACAAACGATGTGATTGGATCCAGTTCAAATGCTGTTTTGAAATAAATTCGTGTTGCCGGCCAGAAGCATCTTACTCTACTGTGAGAGAGCAGTGCCTTTTTAGGTGGATCGATGATCAAGGTTGTTGTCGCCAGTGAGAGCACTTCACTTCCACTTAATTTAATCATTGTGTTCTAGCACATTTTGCAAAAGCGCTTGACATTGATATATTTCCGCTGAAGTCCTCTGCTTTAAATTTGAAGTAGAACACCTTAAACCAATCAGGTTTCATTGACACATGTGTGCACCAGTAGCTGAAGCCTACTTTACCTATAAATTGCCAAAACAAACACAGCACTGTCATGAGGTTCTACAAGTCTCGGTATATGCGCATTCATTACATTTTATCTTTACAATTGTTTGGTCGTAAAACCACTTAACAGTAAGTCTTTGGGTTAAATTAATTCACAGTTTTTTTCTAAAGGATAACTTTATCTGACGGGTGGTTGCTCACACCATCTAAATTGTGGATCGGTGGATGACTGAAATGTGCACTGACAAATTTTCCTATCTTTCTGTCTTCCAGACAACAAAATGGCACTTGAAGTGACGCTGACGTCGGTGGTGGCAGCAATTGTGGTGTGGGCCGTTCAGGTGGAGAACGGTGGTGTCCTCAATACTGTCTTCAAAGTTGTGTCAAACTCGCCAACTGGAACGGTGGAATTTGACGTGTCGGACGACGTGGTGCAATCGAACATTGATTACATCATGTCAACGCTGCTACTGAAGCCGATTTCCTTGCCCGTGCTGGAGGCAATGCCCGAGAGTCTGGGAGGTGGGGCGTCTGGTGTGGCCAACGCCCACGCCCACCCCAACCGCGAGCCCAACATCTTCTGGACCACAGTCGCACTCTATGTGCTCATCGTTTTCTTGATTATCGCAATCCAAGTGATTAACTGTTGTTGCTGTTGCTGCAGTGGTGGTGGTGGTGATGACGAAACAGGAGTACGTTGGCACTATTCAAATTTTGAGTTTAGAATTGCACCGCCCTATATTATCTTGAGTCAATTTTTTGATGTCACTCGTAGAACTACATTACGCAGATGCGTTCAGAGATAAGACGACACCTGATCAAAAGCGTTCTAATCAAACTTCCACATGCGTCCTCGTTCCATCCTGTCAAACTAGACTCATTCATGGAGGCCGAAAACAAGTTCTACTAGTTCTAGTGTCACCAGGTTGCAAGTAACTGTTCGCAAGTAACACGCTGTGGCTCCATTTCAGGTGTATGGAAAGATGAATCCCTTGCAAATGACTGCGTTGCGTAGCGAATTCGGACACAAGCAACTGGTGTGCCGCATTACGTACATCGCAGTCCTAGTAATCACGCTGACCTTTCTGGCAGCCTGCATCATCCTCATATTCGTCTACTTCAGTAGCATCGGTGTGCTGATGAGCTATTTGGAAGCCCACAACGGGAGTGCAGAGGAGACGAGTTCCATCCAAAATGGACTTCAGGCACTCACAACTCACGTGACACAGTTTATGAAAACAGGCATTGAATCCGGACGCACACTGACCGATAATTCCCTAACCGATTTCATCAAGAAAACGAATGTAAGGCAATATTTAGCATAGTTTTTTTAACCAACCTTTCAGTCGTTAATGCGTATTGGCTGGCACGAGTTTTGTGAATTGGTCTTGATGTCGGGGATTAGTAATGACAGTCTGATTCACCTAACCACATCACAACGTTTTCACTACATTTAGGTATCCAATTTTAGTATGCTTGATCGCGATTGCAATTGTTAATTTCCCTACGCGATTCAGCTTTATGACGCTGTGGCTGACTGGTTGGTGGGACTGCTCTGGATCAGTGTTTGTGCCAGCACCTACCTCATAAATTCCCAAATGAATGTGTTGCATGTCTTCTAGGCAGAAATTTCATCCGGACTCTCTGGTACGATTGACAATCTGCTGGTTTACCTGAGTGTTACGAATGTTTTGACAAAAGGAGAGGAAACTGTTCAGGCGTTGAAAACGTTCTCTACGTATGTGACTGGTGCAAGTACTTCGATTGACACCTTGAAGAGTAAGGTTTCCACTCTTTGCATAAAAATGGATGAAGCCCGTGATGAATTTAAGTATGCATTTGGAAATGTCACTGATTGTGACAAGCAGGACCAGTGCAAAAACCTGAAAGTGAGTCACTATCTTCATCATCTAATGACTGAAAAAGCCTTGGAGGCTTAAACGTCCACTGGACTTCATGGCAGTTCTTTTGATGGTGGTTTCGAATGAGTGTCACAGGCATGGAAGCATTTAGCTAAAGGTCATGTTGGCATATACAAAAACCTGATCCTCGCAGCCCCCTTTTTCACGGCGTGCCCGTCAGTAACTGTGACCGCCTGCTCATTAACCAAACCGTGTACCACCACCACCCGCCTTATCCATATGACCATTCACACGCCTCTATTTCTACTAGTCAACACAACAAAACTAGGTTCAGCTGTCTAGCTAACGGTTGTGCCTCATCCTCTCTGGTCTTATCTTCGCGGGCACTGGGGGTAACGTACTCGGCCCCGACGTGATTCAAGACAACATTCCGAGGGCCTCAACAGTGCGTTGCAAGCCACTGTTCTGGACCTGTGGATGGTCATGACTATTAAAAACGTTGATTTAATGACGCGGATGTTGGAAATATATAACTCATTCGGCAATCAACGAGATTTTTCTTACAGTGTCAATTGATCATATAATAAATTACTTGTCTCTTTCTTTTTTGTAGGCATTAACATTAAATCTACATTGTCCAATCGATCTCAGTGCAATCAACACAACAGTAATGAATACATTTACAAGCGAACTACAAAAAACGGTAGCAGATTTAGAAAAGAAATTGGCAGAGGTTAAGCAGGCAATCGAGGAAATTAAAGCGTCAACAAGTCAAATGGTTGATTCAGTCGAGAAAAAACTTGACCTCAAAACGGTACTCGATTCGATCAACAAGTTTTGGAATGACACCAGTGCACAGGTTGGTGGTGTGACCAAGAATCTGGAAGACCTCTCCACCTCTGTGGACAATGGACTTGCACAGTACTCGGGATATATTCGCATCGCGTTCAACGTAATCGGAGGGTTCTTCATAGTCATGTTGGTCATCGCAGCCCTCATTGCTGCGCGTCTTCTTTACCGCGCTTTTCGAGATCGACTCTACGCAGGCGCGGACACCGTGCTCACATGTGAGTCGTGTGGTCGAAAAACCAGTTTAGTGAGAACAAATCTCTGACTACATAGATTTCCAAGACGCGTTATTTGGAACCATAGCAACCTTAACTAAAATGAAATTTAAACATGAACATTGTACGCAGGCTCATCGTGGTATTCTGTAAAGCTTTACTTCTATTGCTTACAGATTCGCCCAGTAATAAGTGGGACAAGATCGTCTGCGGAAAGGGGTCGGTCTGCTGCTGTTCGGCGATTTTCATTCCAATCCTGCTCATCTTTGCAGCCCTCATTGCAGTTCTGCTATTTGCTTTGACGTCGGTATCAGGTTTGTGTTACTATTTGAACTAATCAAATCCATCGAGATCGTGAAGTTGTCGAAAGCTCATTGATGAAGTGAACAAGATGAATGATATATATTACACTAAGTATTTTGTAAATATGGATATTTTCTACTGACCTCTTTTCCGCTGCTTCACAGAAGAGATTGTTGAGTTAATATGACGAATGTAACCAATCACTTAGCAGTGTCAAAAATCAGACTTCAATTTACACCACAGACAAGCTCTAGCGAGTCCAACTTTCGTCAACGTATGGACGGTCAATTGTTGAAAAGCTGCACATTAGTCAATTTTGAAATACCTTCTGTTAAAGGCGAAGCCTGCATTTACGTCACACGGGAAACAGGTGTGAATAAGACTGACTTCGTGGTGGACGGATTGTTGGCTCGGCGATGGTCGTCACTTGTCGGTGGGTCGATTGGAGGAGCCAACGACTTCCTCAACACCCCACCTCCCAAACACGTGCTCCACGCCCTCACCCAGAGCTGCCGTGGCAGCACAAAGCAGTCATCCCGACGTGGCCTTCTCTCTGCTGTGGGATACACCAATCTGGTGGATGTCTCGAAATTGGTTAAAAGCCAGCAAGTGCTAAATGGAATTGCCGAAGGAAAGACGTACGTTCTTCATGCTCTTGCTACGCGCCAAACACTCGTGGTGGTATTGGTCGTTATGTAAAATCTATGCATCTTCAGTCATTGACTGGTGAAGCGATTGAATTTACATAAACAGTGACCGTGGATTAAAATTTAAAAAAAAATTCTCAATAACAAAATTGAGAATAGTGTTGGCGATCATTGACAGTGTGTTTCGTGTAATTCAAGCAAAAGAATCGATATTTAGTGATAATAGATAATGGCATTAAGTTTCGAAAGCATCGGCTGAAATGACATTCGCCAATCGGAAATGACTTAACAGTTCTTCAGGTACTGACGTCCTTATTTGCGTTTTACGTAGACGCAGATAACATTTTCAAATATCGTCGTGCGCAAGTGCAAGGGTGATTGGAAAGATGCAGAGTGATGAAGGAAAGATGGGTTCTGTAGCATTTGTAGTGAGTGCTAGTGACATTCCCGTAAAGAAACACTGGAGATTGAGGTTGTGTATAAGCATGAGAATGATGAAACTAGTTAGAATGAAAACAAATAACCCGACGATTAAGTAATAGATATACGCCCACAGCGAATTTGACCAAATCCTCATAGAAGCTGTAGCTTTGCCCCCTCGAACGCATCCTGAGTTGACGTTCTAGATTTACCTTTCAGGGTTATTCGTGATGAGGTGAAGAATCTTGACATTCCGTCGAAACTACCCAAAGAAAATGATTTGGATACAGCGAAAAATGAACTTGAGCAAGCAATAAACAGCTTTAATTTAACTGTAAGTTTCACTTTATTTGACATCATCGATAATGTCAAATCGTGCTAGCACACTTATCCACTTATACCAGCAGTCTTTTCAAAATCTTCATCTAGACCTACACTTTAATATGTGATTGGCATCTCTATCGAAACGAACGGTTTAAACCACCACTCTGCATTTGCGAGTAATTCCTTCGATGATCGACGTAGAATTATCCCACCACCACTCTGAATGTTCTACGCTGCTTAACGATTCCCGGCGATAATGACATGCCCTTCGTGCATTCGTCCTTTCAGGCACTCATCAACTCAACGAATTCGAGTCTTCTGGACCCCGCACCGATCGATGCTCTCGCTGCTCAAGTGGAGGCTTTTGCTAGCAATCAAACTTCAAAGGATTCATTCAAAAAGGGAATCGAAGCCCTAAAGGACGCAGCCAATCAAATGAACGAACTCAAACCGCAGATGGCAAGCACGCGCACTGACCTTGAGAACGTTGACAAACAAAAGAACAAAATTTTGTCGCCTGTTGAGGGACTGGTTGGGGCTTTTAAAACAACCATTCAAGTAAGTTGACATTTTATTAACACAGCTACTTTTGCCATAGGTATAAAGGCGATATCTGTGCTCCTGATGGTTGCATGAAAATAATCATTAAATGGGTTTAGGAGCCTAACTAGTTTTCTTCCATCGTATGGCTAAAAATGTGGCTAAATCCGGCACGAAAGGGATCCTTATTAAATTGTTAAAGAGGTGTCCTTTTTACCAAGTCGGAAAATGATTGGTTGTTAGCTGGTTACATTTAAAGCCCAGACTACCCAAAACCGTGGGCTCTTTTGTTTTGGTTTCACAATAAAGCAGACGAAATTCATATTATCGACAGTGAGATACCACTGTTCACTAAAAGGCCATAACGACAGTTACAATAAAACGCAGATTAGGATGCGACTTCGATTAAACACAGTCGTATTGCACATAAACAGTATCAGTGATAGCGCCAATCTACTTCATCAGGGGACCACACGAACATGGATTGTGAAATACACCGACACGTCCTTCCACAACTCACTTTACTCAATTTAGACTGCTGGTGATGATGCTAAATTGACAGCTGAAGTTGAAAAGGAGTATGACAAGGTGACCACAGAGCTGCTTGCCTTCATGGAGAGGGACGGTGGCGTGGCATTCTCGCGCCTCACCCAGGAACTCTTCCCCTGTGAGGAGGCCTACCAAGCAGTCAATGTGGCACTGTCTGTGTCCTGTGGTGACGAGGGCGCCCTCAATCGATTCATCGGTGTGGTCTACGTCCTGGCACTCACCGTCCTCTTCATCTGCTTCTTCTACTTCTCCCTCTTCAACCTCGCCTTCATGCAAGCCATCCAGATTCATCGGTTGTCAGCCTCGAAACTCGAGGACTCTAGCACCGACTTCGGGGACGACGACGACGACGAAAGCGAGGACGAAGATTCCACCTAAAAAGATCTAAAAACTTGTGTATATCTTGTTTTATTTTCTAATTCATTCCTCAATATCTTGCCAGACCATTAAAGTGCAAAGTATTGTTTTGTAATGGTTGAATCAAAGTACGAACAAACTTTTAGCTTCTAGCATACTGTCATGAACTAAGCATGATGAGTTATCGCAAGAATGAGCGCTTTCTGACGAGTGTACAGCACTTTTCGTAAACATTGAAACCAAAATACCTTGACCCTATTTTCCAAATTTTGACGAAATTAAGTGCACACCAATTAGTACCCGGTCCACAGTAAGAACTTGGGTATCCAACCAAGGTTGTACAGCGTTAGGCACATTTATTCCAACTAATGTCTCCAGTCACCGCAGACCAAATGATCATTTCTAGCATTGGTGAAAATCCAGTTCGTGGGGGCTTGCAATTCGCCACCGGCACGATTGTCTGCGTTCAGGTGTTGGGTGTTTTCAGATGTCAAATATTAATTATGTTGCTTTATTGCATTTATGTGCACATATCTGTTGAAAAGCACTATTATATTTTGAAACATTTTGAGTGACATTTTAAGACGCTTGAACGCGTCCTCACATCTTTATTTCATCGAGTGAAATTTTCATGCTGTTTGTGGTTTTTGCGTGACCGGGGACCAAAAAGTAAGTTTTTTTTCAATTAGCCAATTAGAGAGCTAACGTGAAGGGCCCAATTATTTTGTTCCGATATAATACCAGTTAACTGCATCGGTGGAGTCGTGTTGAAGCAATGACGATTTAAAATTCACACCAAACCCGTTTTACGTAAGAATTTCAACCCACGTTGCAGTTATCACATGTCAACATCAAGTGGATGTGTGCTGCACTCACGCAACAATGCTTCTGATCGCACAGCACACCTTTTTGTGGGCTAAGCAACGAGAGAGCACAGTGTTGCCGACAGAGATGCTGGCAAAAACTGTAGAAAGCAAGAAGACACCCTATTTGCTGTGTCAATCATGAGCTGATGATCCGATTTTCAACCCAATTTCGATGTGCTTTCTCTCGTTTGAACTGCTGAACGAATAGAAATGAGTAGCTATGTGAAATCTCCAGATTAACTGCGAAGGCAAATCACGAACTACAGCATTCAGCACATTAAGTACAATATACTTTTCAAAAAAATGCCACGGTAGCTCATATTTACGAAATCGTCTTCATTGTATTAGGACGTGGAATACTCCGATTACAGTTAATCGTGTTTGCTCTAAGATTAGAATGTTGAGAGTGTAGGGCTGCGAGGACACGACAGTTCGAGGTGGAAAGATGGTTGTAACCGAAGACTTCAGAAAAGACGAACAAAATCCTAGTAGGATATGATCCGACAGGTTCACGAAAGGCTAATTTGTGACAATATACAGCAGGGTGGACTCAGGAAAGGCCTGATGTGGAAGGAGAGTGAGAGTGGCCAATAGCGTTTGAGTGTACTGGTACCTGAACAACGGGATGTGTGGTATGGTTGGCGGTGGTGGTGGTGATGTGTCCACAGAGGTGCACCACCAGATTGAAATTGATAACCTGATTGATATTGATGCAGTCAGAAGGCAGTGTGCTGGTGTATGTGGCAACATCGTTTGTGGTAAAGTATCATCACGGAATAAAGAAATCCAATGGGAACCCAGGATCAAACTGTTCCTCAATTCGACAGTTTCATTCAGTAGCAGAGAATATGGCCAACGGGAGAGCTGCGAGTATTGCCTAACTGACTCTGTGATGTCGAGAGTAAGCGATTGTAGATGTCGAGTACTGCACAATTCTGGAGGTGGACGAAGGCCTTACTTTGGGCTAATTGATAAATTGTCGTTCAAAAGATGAGGTTTAGTAAAGCATGGCAAAAAGATGCTAGTCTTTTTGTAATTTTTAACCCGAATTTGCGTCGAATTCTACTGTCTGCACTTTTGCAACTGGTTGCACTGAAACAAATGACGAGCCTCGCTTGATGAGGCAATAATCTGACAAGATTGTTGTCCGTGACAGTCCGACAACTGCTCCATCTATTCGCAGACCTTGGTTGTTTGATATGTGTGCTACTTGAAGGCGACACACCGAATCTGGCGTGGTTATAATTGATCATTTCAGTGAGATGCTCAACACAATGCCGACTCTCGTCAGCCCTCTCTCGGTCTCACGTGACTGCGCTTACCGCAGACACACACGC